CTCAGGTACAATCATGATGGTGATTCTATTACTATGCAATAACTTGTAGTTGAAACTAAAGGGAAATATATATCCGCAGACCGTCACGGTGTTAATGCCCTCATCTACTACCAGATAGTGTTAGTAACATATAAATGTTCCAAATCCAGATTCTACCTCGGTGCTAAAGCGAAGTGCTACTACTAGCATCTATCGCAGAGTTATACTTATTTGGCGCCCTGAATGGTGGTTACAGAGCCATACTGTAGACTATCTACAGCAAATGCACGAGACACCACTAGTGCGGGCACTAGTGGCCAGACTAGAACTAGTAGTCAGCAGATTTGTAGGGCTCCGCACGTCGGTGGGCAGAATCTCCCCACCGCCTTTTCTGGCCCATCCATGATGCATTTCTCTCTATCGCCATGCCCACTTCTGCTCGGTATTCGCCGAATATGAAAACCCTCTTGGCCTGTCTGGTCATGCAATGACCTCGCTCGTGACTATATGCCACTCTTCAAACAACTCTCAGACTTCCTCTCCGGCCGCACCTCCAGTCGACCCCCCTCCTCCCCGCAAACCTCCCCCGATCCTGCTCCCCCATCAGATGCGACCTCCGACCACATACAGCGGACTGAGACGTCCGGCGCATGGAATCCCGGTTCGCCCATAGAATACGGGTCTCTTCATACACCTCTTGAAAGTATTCATCCGGTCACTGTAAGTATCCGTACTCCGCCCAGCGCTTTCCAGATTACCGTGCGATCATTCTTTCGCAACCCATGTCTTGGCCTTGAATTTTACATTTTCCGCTCTGCTAACACCGGCCGTGATAGACTGCTTTCAGCAATGCCGAAGGACTTCGACATTCTTACGAACACCGACCTGTACGTCCACAATATCGCCAGACCGTTCCTCGATCAGATTCAGGAATGCGTCGCCTGTAAATATGGCCTCGCAATGCAGAAGCAGACCGAGTGGTACTGACTCGATTGATATTAGGTCTGGCGACTCAACACATGCCAAGTCGCGCCAGCGTTCCGAAGCATACGATGAACTCAGGTTGTTTCCTCCCAATAAGTGGTGCGTTCAGTTTTGCGCAGTGGCCATATGGAACACATGCTGATCAGCGAGATTTACTTTTTTAGGAATGACCCCGGTGGAATCCCTATAGTGCCAGGACAAACAAAAAGCAATAAGCCCAAGGTATGATATGATCAGAACTGAAAATGCCTGTGTGCTCGTGCTAACAGCAGGAACAAGTCACCTTTCAGACCCGTGGATACGATATCGAAAGGTCGAGACAGTGGACCGGTTCGTGCACAAGGAAAACCGAATCGCCTACGGAACAACCAGCCAGGAAATGTCACAGGATACGCAGGCTCTGAAAGACCCAATAAACGGCGCCGCCAGGATACCCTCGATTCCAGCCGAGGAAATTTCACAAAACCGTCTGACAACGATGTTGAGCACCCCGCTCAGGAGGCGCCCCGCATCGCCGGTCACCCACCACGTATGTCTCCTACTTTGAGCCAGAGTTCAGGGAAGCAAAAGAAACAGCGGAATAACAGACGCTCAAAAGTGGACGAATACCGAAGCACTGAAAATATCGTGAGACCTTCCCGGATACAACCAAGCCCAAAGCGTGGTCCCTTACCCAACCTCGGAGCACCGTCCGATGATGACCGCGACGAACGTTTCACGAAAAATGCAACCAAAGAAAGACGGAGAAACAATTCTTTCATTGTCGACATAGACTCCGGCGCCGAGCAGGAACGACCTTCCAAACATGAGATCCTACAAAGCGTCGAAATCATAAATGCGAAATCACAGGACCCTGCAAATAAGACAAAGATGGGTCTGCTTCATGATCCGGAAATTGCGGCAAAACCCAGAAGACGGGTGTCTGAATCGCGGGAGAGTCCCGATGAGCTTCAAGGGGCGGTAACTGTGCGGCCACCGCCCGCTCAAATTGGAGACAAGAGAACTGAGCTTGGAAGTCAACGCACGACAGGCCGTGAGCACCTGTCTCAAGACATCAAACCCACTCTTTTCGAAGCATCCGGGGCAAGCAAGAAAGGGAAACGGAAGAACAAGAAGACCAAAGCTTCCGAAATGTCGAACCAGCGATCCTTCAAAGCGAAGCTCGTCCGAACTGGTCCTATCGAACAGCAGGCATCGGACGGCAAGTCCGTCGAGGTTCAAGTCGACATGACGAAACGCACAATCGCACTGTGTCAAGAGACAGATTCTGAGAACGTTTTTGAAGCGCCTCTTTCTAGAGTACGACAGATCCTGAAAGCAGAATCACCAAACAATAAGGTCAGATTAGTGCTCTCAAAGACGTCGGAACTCGATAATCGGATCGATATTGAGTTCATGTCTTTCACTGTGAAGGAGGAATTCTGCTGTTTATTGGGTGAGGTCGACATTCGTGACAAGTCAAGGTATGTCTGTTCTCTGTTCTCTGTTCTCCATTCGTGCCGCTTTCGTTTGGCTCTATCGTTGCTGTTCCCGAATACTACCTTTTGCTATTGAACTAAGGCTGATATGAGAGTAGCGAATGGATGGACAAAGCATTCAATAAGGCCCAAAGAGAAACTAAACAACCTACAAATGGAATTAAACGGCCATCATCGGAAGGCGGTCTTGAGCAAGTCCCGGACAAGCAGCGTGACACCACGAAACGGGTGAAGCTCACGGACAATCTGCAAGATGAAAACGGGGTTGCCGCTGGGAGACAGCCGTCGCCGCCGGACGCCGCCTCTCGGGAACGTGCAAACCCCTCCCTTACTGCACCCAAGCCCAACAAGTCGAACCCATCGCAGCCTGAACCAAGCCCAAGCCGTGTGTCGAAGAGCGCCACGGACCCCGGTGTGGAAATTCCCGTGAAGAAGTCTGCGTCCAGCATCACCACAAGAGCCATGTCGCGTCTTCCTTCGGCGACTACAGTAGTGTGGTATGTATTGACTGGTCAATATTCTGTGGTAGAAACGACTGACAAATATGACAGTGACGATAGCGATGATGAAAGTACGCAGTCACCCTTGCCAGCTGTAAACACTGAAAAGTGGCACAAGTATGCAACTCTGCAAACCATGGTACTCGTTGATGCTGACTATGTAGTAGACCCCTTGTCTATCCGCTGGTTGGGAAAAAGAAGGCCGAGGTGGATGTTTACGACTTTGACCGGCTGCGCGAGAACGAATTTTTGAATGACAACCTTATCGGGTTCTACATTCGATTTCTGCAAGATCATCTGGAGCGCACCAATAGTGACGCGGCGAAGAGAGTCTATTTCTTCAACTCCTTCTTTCACGATACACTTATGAATGTCCCTCGAGGCAAGCGGGGCATAAATTATGAAGGCGTGCAGAAGTGGACGAGGACCGTCGACATATTCAGTCATGATTATGTCGTGGTCCCAATCAATGAAAGTGCGCACTGGTATGTTGCTATAATCTGCAACTTACCAAGCCTGCAGGGGATTGTCCAGGAAGGGCTGGATCCAAGTGAACAAACACAAGGCGAAAAAGAGCCTTCAGGGCCACCAGACAGTCAGGTTCAGGAGATCTCTGAAACGCCAGAGCCGGAAGTAGCCGCCAGTAAGGACAAGGAAGAAAAACAGGCCAACGGCTCAGGCCCTACGAGAGCGGAGTTAGCTAGGCGATCCCTAGAATCGATGAGGATAGCTGATGGGGCTGGAAAAGACCAGCCTGCAGAGAGTCCTGCTGCAGATCAAGAGTGGCCTGAGCTCGAAGCTAGCCCAGAAAGGCCTTCCAAAACTCTCTCCAGTCTTACAGAGAACGCGACGACGCCCGAAAAGCTTGATACGAAGGAAGCCGCTCAATTGCCCGAACCATCAGCTAAGCCTCGCAAACAAAAGGCAAAGCGAGCGGGCCCTAGATATGACGTCTGCCAGCCGATCATTATTACCTTTGACTCGCTGAATGTGCCCCGTTCGCCAACAATAAGCTCCCTTCGTGAATATTTATACGAAGAAGCCAAATCTAAGAAGGGCGTCGAAATCGACAAAGGCCTGATCAAGGGTATGAGGGCCCGAGATATTCCCCTGCAGCCCAACTATTCCGACTGCGGTCTGTATCTTCTGGCGTACCTGGAGAAATTCGTCCAAGATCCGGATGTGTTTGTCAGGAAGCTTCTTCAGAAGGAGATGGATTCGAAAGACGACTGGCCTCCGCTGAAGTCCGGTCTCCTCCGACGGCGACTGCGCAAATTCCTCGACATGCTTTATGACGAGCAGGAGCAGCTCAAACGCCATGAGATCAGTGACAAAGACACCATGGTGAATAAGAAGCCGGTATGCTACCTACTCGGTAGTCCCGTGCTGGAGGGTGCGGAGGGCGAAAGCAAACGTTCACCCCGGAAAAAAGGGCCATCGAATGGCTCGGAGGATCGTGCTCAAGCTGTGAATACTAAACGACAGTCGAAAGTCGAAGCGGAAACTGGCGCGGGCCAGGGCAAATCTAAGGAGATTCAAAGATCACCGGTAGTGGACACCAAAGAGTCACTGCATCCCGAAGCATCCCCCGAGAAAGATATTGTCCTAGTCCCAGACAGCCAGCCGGAGGCCGCGCCACCGAAGACCAAATCCAAACCATCAAAAGCACGACGACAGAGTCCGGAGTCGGAGACACAGCCGCGCACCATTGTCCACAACAAAGAAGATGCTTCGGAGGGCGAAAGTCCTGACGACGGTGTGAGTGTTGTGGCAGTCGAGACACAAGTACGAGGGACACCCACGAGGTAGTCAGCTATGCACATAGTAGTAACGAAAGCACTATCTCTAATACCTAGCTTATGCATTATTTGTTTTGTCATTTTCCTAATCCGTGCCATCCGCACGCAGGCGTTTTCGGAACACTGGGGAGGGAAGGGTTGAGTCAACAGTTGCATTAGATACCAAGCATTTGCATGCGAGTGATTCTGTGGAATTCAAGACGAGGGGTGATATGTATTGTATATATCGATATGTGATAGAATCGGATGATCTGATCTGATCTACCCAGCTGAAACTATTCTATATCTACTACCTACCAATCCTTCTCATCCGCCTGCACCCACCACGCCATCTTATCCCTCTTGAACGCCTCAAAATCCCACTCCGCATCCTCTAACCGCTCCTTTCCAGCAGTCCACACATACGTAACGGCCTCTACTTCCTCCCCTTCCTTGGTCTCACTGCTGCCCTCTGTCTCCGCTGCGCCTAACACCTCTTGTATCTCCCTGTTATCACCCTCAGTCTGATGATGATTCTCTAGAACCCTCACCCTAACCACCCTCTTCTCATACTCATTCCCCTCGAACCGATCCAACCGATACACGTCCCCGTCTGTTAATCCCCACACTACTGTTCCCAGCACAGATGCCTCACCTCCAGCAGCAGCCGTATCACCACCATCAACTGCACCAGATGAAGAAGAAGATAATGTGGTAGGTATAATACCCGGATAATCCGCATACAGGACGCGATGGCGTCGATAGCCATGCAGAATTGCAGGCTTGATTGTCAGGAGAGCCTTTTGCCATGGTTCTGGAGTGGCGTGGCCGTGGGTTACGCGGTGCAGGATGGGAGGGGCCATTAGGGTTCCTTTGAGGGGGATCTTAGTAGGGGTAGGGTAGTGGGGGGAGAAAGAGGGGGCGGGTACCGTAGAAGAAGAGGACGTGGTCGCCCATTTTAAGTGCGTTTATCTTGTAGTAATGTATATATGTATGGTCTATTGTGGTGTGGAATTTGAAGGAGGGGAGGGAGTATGCGGGGTTAATTGGTGGTTGGTGTTGAGGAAGTAGTGTGGTGGGTGTAAGTGGGTAATTAATTGAAAGGGTATTATAGTAATAATAAAAGAAGTTGAGTATAGGTAACGAGAGTATATGCGATTGTCTAAAACAGCTTTGCGCGCAGCAATCCTATCCGACGAGGAAATGAAGTTGTAGTAGCGAAGTGCGACAGACAGTATCGGAGATACAACGATAAGTGCTTGCTTATCGATAAGCCAGCCAGCCATTCAGCTCAACCAATGCCGAAAAAGGCCCATGTGGCTTCAAGCTCCGCTCATCTTTGTTTCTGTTACTATCCCCAATACTATCCCCAATACAAACATCCTCGCGACATCGCAACTTCACAGGGAGTTATACTCCCTATCTTTCTTTCCATAAACCTCTTTTCCATCGCGGTCCTCCATACAACACAGAGGGGAAGAATGCACTCGACCCTCAACCGCGCCCAAGGCGTCTTCGGCTTCTTCACGACCGTCGCTCTCTTCGTCGCCGGTCTCGCTGCTCTCAGCGTATTTCTCTATCCGACTGATGATGTGACGTCTAGTGTGAAGTTGCGCGATGTGAAAGTGTACGATTCCCCCCGCCCCATTTTACTCTTTCCAATATCCCCCAATACAATACCTACACCACCCCCATAACATCCACATCCACACCACCAATAACTAACCCAACCCAACCTATTCAACAGAACAAAAGGCCGTCCCCACTACTACAGCACACGAAAGGAAGAATACGCCGCCATGAAATTCGATTTAGATGCTGGTACATACATCCCCCCCTCCCCCACTCGCATCTCCCATTCCCCTACCCTCCCAACACACCATGATACTAACTCAACTATGAAAGACCTAACCCCCCTCTTCAACTGGAACACCAAACAACTCTTCGTCTACGTGTACGCGACCTACCCCTCCGACCCTACCAACCCAACCACCTCCGCGCCCTCTCACTCCGTCATCTGGGACACCATCATCCCGGCCCCGGAGTCGCCGTACTCGTTTGATTCCCTGCGCGAGAGATTCTTTCCTTCTGCATCGTCTGCGAGCAACAAGAAGCGCAGTACGAAGAAGACTTCATCGTCCAGTAAAACTGCTAATAAGAAGGCGTCGTCTGAGCCCGGGAAGCTGAGACTCCGCGATCAACGGGCGAAGTACTCCATCGGGGATGTTTCGGGGAAGATGGCTGAACGGGAGAATGTGACGCTTTCTGTTGGGTGGAATGTGCAGCCGTGGGTTGGGGCGCTGTGGTGGGCTCCGCAGACGGGGGGTGCGATGAGGACCGGGGGGGATGTGGGCACGAGTAAGGCTTTTGGGTTGCCCGCGTTGAAGGGGAGGAATGTTGGGACTGCGTCTGCTTCTGCTGGTAATGCTGCGGGGGCGGTGTAGGTGGGGGAGTATAGTGAGTGATTGTTGGGTTTGTTTATGTAGGAGGGATGGTATAATTGCATTCATTGGGATTGTTCTTGTTTATTTTGGGTGTTTTATTTATTTATTTATGGAGGCATGGGCTGGGTTTGAGCATGTCATCTACTTGCATTGTAGAAATAAAAGGACCTCAACTCCAGTTAATGATGCTGTCGACCTATGGTCGCTCATTTTAGGGTCTCATTACATAACAATACTGGAACAATCGAATGTGAAGGAAAACAGAAACAGCCATGTTCATATGCAGCTTGAATCATTCAGCATCCATCAAGGGATCGTGCCATACGTCGTGTGATGATCTCCCCCACGCTGAATCCGTTCGGAATAGACTCCCGGCGCGCGACGTGGTGCTTCACCTGTCCCTGCGTTGCGATTGGCGTAGTATACGTATTCGAGGTAGAATGCGTGGACATGGCCGGGAAGGTACCTGCTCAATGTGGACTCGGTCAGAAACCATTTACTTTTAGGAAACACTGCGAGGGCAAAAAGTATGGTGTGAATGAAGGATGAGGAACTAACCCCAGGATCGTCAAGAGTATATTGATAAGCAGATCAACACTGCAACCCGAGATCATAAACACACCGAGAGGAGGTACTAGACGAGCCGAAGAATTAGCTTCAAATTCAGATGCCAAGAAAAAAAGTGTGAGAATGTAAGTAGAGGATCTGCATACTGAACAAGGTAATCAGAATCAAGCAGAGCATGGAGCATGTTCCAGCCATCTTTGTTGAACCGAAGGCTATGTGATAACGACGATATAGTAGTCGTAGTACTGATTAGGACCGTGCGGCAGACTTGACACGTTTGCTCGAGTCCAAATAGGTACCCAGGAAGCTAAGGGATAGAATCACCACCAGCAGGATGTAGATGTAGATGGGGACGTTGTCGTCTTTGTTGGAATTGAGACGCTTCATTGTATATGTATCGAGAAGGGGAGAGAGGATCGGATCAGTCACAAGGTTTCACAGGTTGTTTCTAGATCGACGTCACCGGGACGGGAAGGTGGTACTGGAGGATCGAATCAATTTCCCAAGTGTTGATCAGCCTTGTGAGCTAGCGCCACGGGTAGCAAGTCACAAGTCAATTTGAGTAGTATGAGAGAACAACACAGCAGCCGAGTTGAGCGATCAATCCCTTGCCAGGCCACCAAACTGAACAAGGCAGAAATGTTTTTTAGTTTGGCCTGGAATTGCCCGGATCCCATTCCGGCTGACGTCATCCCGCAAGCTGCCGCAAATGGGCCGCGCTTGCCTGTTTGGGCTTAAGGCCGAGCTACGGAAAACCTGGGGTAAGTGGGGAGTTTCAACTAGTAGATAAATAGGAGATGTTAAAGGCAGGTGCCATTGTCGCGGTTGGTGTTCGTTTAACGTGTATATTTGCAGGTATATACGACTTAGCCTCTCCGTACTTCGAGCCTCTATACTGCATCAATCGACGCACGTGTCGTCACCTGTTCGTTCTTGTTGCCGAGTTTCGAGATCTGCAGGAACGCATCCACTCCGTAACCTTCGAGGCTGTGGAGCTCCAAGCTGCCCGCCCAGTACTCGGCATACACTCGGCTCATGGGCAGACCGATCCCCAGGCGTAGATTAGGGGGCCGCGAGGTCAGCGAATCCAGCGAGCTCTCGCGGAATGTGTCCCGATCCGCATCCTTTCTTTCTGTTGGCACGCACAGCTCCTGCATGGTGGCAGCCATGGCGGGAACCTGTCCCAGATTCTGGAGGTGTGATGTGCTGTAAGGGCCCTTGTTGAAAGACCACAGGTACGGCAGGACCTTACGCGGTATGCCGCCACCCTGATCCGATACCCGCAAGATTACATGCTGCGGGGCCTCGCAGATGAGAACCTCGATAGGCGGCGGTTTCTCCGTAGAGTCCCGGTATCGTTCACTCACAGCTTGGATCGAATTGCGGAGTAGCTCACCGATAATATATTCCAAGTGACTCAGCATGTAAGGGAAGGTTGCCTCAAGGTGACCCTGCACCGAGATTTCTGGTATCTTATCCGAACCACCGTTCTGCCGCAACATATCCTGCGCCAGCTTCCCGCACCGTTCAGCAACCTCTTTCGCGTTGCATCTGAGAAATACCTCACCGACGAAGTCGGCATTTAGATCTGTGCGATCTTGGGAGCCAGGGAAGTGCCATGGAGAGTTGAAGGTTTCCGTTAGAGCAAGATGTTGCTCGGCGATAACGCGGCGTGAAATTCTCTGTTAGGCCCAATGTATTAGTTGAGAACTATACCATCTACCCAGACAAGGTCTTACCGCTCGGAGAAGTGTGTTCATAAAGCTGTCCAGCACGTCTGATGGGACGAGCTCGCGGCACTCCAAAACACCCGTTGCTAGTTTGGGAATCACAACCAGGTGTTCTCGGAGCGTTTTACGTAGGATGTCGCAGAATTTGTCATTGTCATCCAATGTCTTTATCTCTGGGATGGTCCGAAACCGCTCGAATGCCTTGTAGTAGAGCTCGTACACCATGGACAGGTGGGGATTGGCCACCACCACATACGGGAGTCGTTGGATATCTCGTAGGCGATGGGCGAGTCTAGTGAAATATTGGAGTTAGTTAGATCGTCAACTGCGATGGAACAACCGCACTAACCTAGTTGGAAGCTCAGTTCGTACGTAGTTGGCCGAACTGATAAGCCGGGATTCCGTCAGGGTTCGTCCGAAGAAAGTTAGCTGTCGCAAACTGATAGGACGGATGTCACGCTCAACCCATCTGCAACCCATTAGCATTGACGCCCGGCAAAACGTGTCAAGGATAGCCTACTCGTCCAAAGCCGATACCGGTCTCCACGGCGGCGGACTGTGAGCTTGCTGAGTGGAATTAAATCGTAGTTTTGGGGTGCAGCATTGACGAAGAGCCCGCCAGCGACGAGCTGAATGACTCCACGCCATATTGCTGTGGTTTGGACTGAGTCAACGGCTCAAGCGCGAGTGTGGCATGGAGGGGACCGTATTACGCCAATGCAGAACGGGCGCGCATCAAAAGAGCCACACGAGATCAAGTTCCGATAGAATGGTCCATACATGGCTCTGCAGAGGATCAATTTGGTCCACGACCGCTGAAATCACAGTGGCATGACATGGTTCCTGATGGCAAATGCGGCCGGTTTTCCAGGCGTCCGGGCGGTGAGAGCTTTCGGCATGTGACGTGCCGATGCTCACATGGCAATCATCAATCAACACTGCAATATCCCCCTTGAGAGTATTCGTATCAATCGTGTATAACTGATATCCCCTCAAATCGGTGGTCAGATGGGTACTGCGTTGGAGTTAGGGATACAGTACAGGGATGCTGGTACTGGTGCTGGTGCTGGGTGTTGCCTAATTAAACGGTGATCTTCCATCCCACCCGATCGTGGACTAAGAGCGGATGGCGTTGGGAGGAGGTCCAAGCCTAATGGAATAGAAGAATAATTGGTAGGAAGAGCACGGAGTAAGACAGAGTAAGTAGTTAGCAGATAAACTACTAATAGTTATATGATATACATTCTTTCCTTCTCACTATATAGTTATAAGATGCCGGATAAATTCTTTTTCAAATCATCCTTTTTCGGTCAGTCGGAACTGCAGCATCCTTATGTTGCGCTCGGATTTGGCTTAGTTTAGACGGTGGAGCGTCAAAAATGCACGGGTGATATCACGCTTGGGTAGGTGGCTACTGGCTAGCTATGCCCTTACTGTACTCGCTCCTGCATAGAAAATAAGATAACAG